ATTGTTGATACTGCCCACGGTAGGATACTTGTTGATACTGCCCACGGTAGGATAATTGTTGATACTGCCCACGGTAAGCTAATTGTTGATACTGCCCACGGTAGGCTAATTGTTGATACTGCCCACGGTAAGCTAATTGTTGATACTGCCCACGGTAGGATAATTGTTGATAATACCCACGATAGGATAATTGTTCATAATGTCTAAATACAAGTTAAGAAAAGCAGTTTATCGTTCATTGTTTGTTTAAAAAAACAACCTAGATAATAATCTCATTACTGTATCCCTAGTTTTATTTCCTTACACAAATATGTAGGATTATATTTGAAAGGGGCGCCAACGTTAATCGTGCTAGGGGTGCCAGCAACCGTAGAGTCGGCCCTGTAACTAGGCCACGGGAAAAATGTTGGACTTTTGGAAAAGATTATATCAGTAATGATCAATAATCAATGACTTTTTTTAAATCTCTTACAGCCCCGAAGGTGAACTGGATCTGTCCCAACGGCTGGGTCAGTTTGATAGACGATAGCAGCATCATGTGTTTGTGGTTCAGTAACGGGAGCCTTAGCCACCCGCTGGCCAGGGATCATTGTGCCAAGTATCAGGCCAGTTTGGTCAAGGTGAACACAGTCAAGAAGATCCAGCTATTGAAAGGTCAGTAGCCAGTGTATGAAATGTACTGGTCGGTCACTCGAGAATTCTATATCCATCGTAAACGTTAGGAAAACACTTTTGGGAAAAGATAGAGACATTGCAAAAACTGGACATTTCCTAGGGTTAAGCTATTTTGTCCTGAATAGTTTTGAACATATCCTAGTGTTTGTCTATTGTGTCCGAATAGTTTTAGACATTCTCTAGTGTTTAGCTATTTTTTCCAAATAGCTTTGGACGTTTCCTAGGGTTTAGCTGTTTTGTTTGCTTTGTAGTTATTTCCCCTTGTATCTATAGGGTTACATTTATTCATATTGTATACTGTGGTCTATGAACACTGAAGAATTTATTTTCCAAATTGCGTAAATAGCATAAATTTTCCCTTGGTTTCAGGGGACGTGATTGCCTTGTTTATATTAGATTGAAATGTTGTTGTTGGTTTTTTTGTTGGTCGCTAGATTCTTAGAATATTGAAAATAGCGCACGTTGAGTGATTCGAATTTAATCTAATCTGTAACTTACCCTGTACGTGAATGTGTTTCAGAATGTGGTCTTGTCTGTAGCTTACCTTGTACGTGGGTGTCTTTCAGCATTTGACTAATCTGTAACCTACCCTGTACGTGAATGTGTTTCAGAATGTGGTCTTGTCTGTAGCTTACCTCGTACGTGGGTGTCTTTCAGAATTTGTCTAATCTGTAACTTACCCTGTACGTGAATGTGTTTCAGAATGTGGTCTTATCTGTAGCTTACCCTGTACGTGAATGTGTTTCAGAATGTGGTCTTATCTGTAGCTTACCTTGTACGTGAATGTGTTTCAGAATGTGGTCTTATCTGTAGCTTACCCTGTACGTGAATGTGTTTGAGAATGTGGTCTTATCTGTAGCTTACCTTGTAAGGGGGTGTGTTTCAGAATTGATCGCTAAACGTGAAGCAGAACATTGGATTGGCCTACATAAAGATCGTGGTTACGAGTCTAGCTTCAGATGGTATACCCTGAGAGGCGACGTGCGGGTGAGTAGAGTGTTGTCGCAGCTGACCAATAGGTTATTATTAAATGGTATGGAGCTCATTACGAAAAAAAAAACAAAAAAAAACGCAGAACCGATGAGGCATCGAAATCTAAAAAAGTCGATTTTAGGGGAACACCGGGGAGATTTTTTCCTAGCCGTGAAAAAAATATGTAAATTAATGTGTTGCCACTACCATTGAAAATTAGTAGAATCAACGTCTTGAATCGTGCGCATGGTTAGATTCTCTCACTCTAACCATCTTGCTACGCCGTCCTGCAGGCCGACACAAGCATCTTGCCCGCTGCTTTCCGTGACTACATGAGCTACAAGGCACAGTGTGTTTACGTCTCTTCCGACGGTGCCGAGTGGGAGATGGAGGACTGCGATACAGAATGGAGCTTCATCTGTGAAAAAAATATCGGTCAGTATCCCTTTAGCTACCACGCAGTGTCTTAAGACATCATAATTTAATACATATCAACAGCAGCGAGTTACAATGATTTTACGTGTGACCTTCGACTCTGGAATTTTTTTGCTTATAACATTCACAAACGATTCCCATGTGTGTGCATGTGTGTCCATGTGCGTGTCTTCGTGTGTGCATGTATGAGTGTGGGTGTGTGTGCGTTCGTATGTAAGTGTGTATGAGTGTGTGAGCATGCGTATGTGTGTCCACGTAAGTACGTGCGTGGTTTGTGCGTGCATGTGTCCGTGGTGGGAGTGTGTGTCCGTGGTAGGAGCGTGTGTCCGTGTTGGGAAAGTGTGTGTCCGTGGTGGGAGCGTGTGTCCGTGGTGGGAGTGTGTGTCCGTGGTGGGAGTGTGTGTCCGTGGTGGGAGTGTGTGTCCGTGGTGGGAGTGTGTGTCCGTGGTGGGAGTGTGTGTCCGTGGTGGGAGTGTGTGTCCGTGATGGGAGTGTGTGTCCGTGGTGGGAGTGTGTGTCCGTGGTGGGAGTGTGTGTCCGTGGTGGGAGTGTGTGTCCGTGGTGGGAGTGTGTGTCCGTGGTGGGAGTGTGTGTCCGTGGTGGGTGGTGGGAGTGTGTGTCGGTGGTGGGAGTGTGTGTCCGTGGTGGGAGTGTGTGTCGGTGGTGGGAGTGTGTGTCCGTGGTGGGAGTGTGTGTCCGTTGTGGGAGTGTGTGTCGGTGGTGGGAGTGTGTGTCCGTGGTTTGAGTGTGTGTCCGTGGTGGGAGTGTGTGTCCGTGGTGGGAGTGTTTGTCCGTGATGGGAGTGTGTGTCCGTGATGGGAGTGTGTGTCTGTGATGGGAGTGTGTGTCCGTGATGGGAGTGTGTGTCCGTGATGGGAGTATGTGTCTGTGATGGGAGTGTGTGTCCGTGATGGGAGTATGTGTCTGTGATGGGAGTGTGTGTCCGTGATGGGAGTGTGTGTCCGTGATGGGAGTATGTGTCCGTGATGGGAGTGTGTGTCCGTGATGGGAGTGTGTGTCCGTGATGGGAGTGTGTGTCGGTGATGGGAGTATGTGTCTGTGATGGGAGTGTGTGTCTGTGATGGGAGTGTGTGTCGGTGATGGGAGTATGTGTCTGTGATGGGAGTGTGTGTCCGTGATGGGAGTGTGTGTCCGTGATGGGAGTATGTGTCTGTGATGGGAGTGTGTGTCCGTGATGGGAGTGTGTGTCCGTGATGGGAGTGTGTGTCCGTGATGGGAGTGTGTGTCCGTGATGGGAGTGTGTGTGCTTGTGTTTCTTTGTGTGTGCGTGTGCTTGCTTTTATTTGTGCGTGTATTTGTGTGTCTTTGTTTATGTTCGTGCTTGCGTGTGTTTGTGTGTGTATGTGTGTGTGTGCGCATGCGCGTGTGGGCGTGTGTTTTTGTATGTGCGGTTGTGGAGTAAGTCAATCAGCGATGAATTTCTTTGCTCTATAACAATTTGAATTAACACTAGAATGCCTTAATCTTTCGTAGATTATTTCCCCTTCCTAAATATGTTATTTTTTTAAAACGGTTTTCTAACTATATCACTTCTATTTTATTACTTGTTACAACAGAGTGCATGTAACAGTTATAGTTTACTACTCGGTACCACAGAGTGCATGTGACAGTTATATTTTACTACTCGGTACCACAGAGTGCATGTGACAGTTATATTTTACTACTCGGTACCACAGAGTGCATGTGAGTGTTATATTTTACTACTCGTTACCACAGAGTGCATGTGACAGTTATATTTTACTACTCGGTACCACAGAGTGCAGTCCAGGAAGTTTTGGTGATAAATGTGTCAAGGTCTGCCACTGCATCGGGGAGCCGTGCACCACGAAGAGCTCAGATGGCAGCGACGACGTCACATGTCGGTGGGGCTGTCAGAGAGGTTGGATGGGACCAGCTTGTGACATAGGTAAACATAAGGGGGGTCATACTGACCTAGGACATTTCTGCCATGTGGTCATACCGACATTGGGTCACACCAACCTGCGGTCATACCGACCTGGGGTCATACCGATCTGTGTTCACACTGACGGTTTGGGGATCATCACAAGTATATTATTCTCAACCACCAGTAGAACATTCATAAAAAGTATAACAGTGATTGCATTACATGTAATAATAGGCTGAATAAAATGATAGAAATTACTGAGGCCATAAACACAGAGAACTACGAGGTGTATAGCTATGTGTAACAATTTTTAGTGGTTGAAAGATGACCTGTATGATTCGATTCTCCGAAAATAAGGCAGCCTTTTGATTGGCATTTTGAAAATTATTATTATTTTTAATTGGTTTTAAATGTTTTTCTTAGTTTTTTTGTTGAAATATTCCAAATGCAATTTTTATTATACAAACTTCTTTTTTGAAAGAAAAACAAGACCCGGATGTCAAGTATTACTGTCTCAATTCGGACCAAGGGGGTAAAAAAGTGCTCATAAGAATTTACACTAAAGGAGTGGAGTACAAGTGAGTTAATGTTACAATGTCTCTGTGTCATTTCAAGTGTTCTAATCGTGTTTAATTAAATCACTATGACTTGGATAAAATTAATATAGCAGATACAATTGTCCTGTAGTTAAAAAATCAAATGAATGAAAACCATAAGAATAAATCCCTAAGAGTAGCAACACAAGCAAAGGAGGGTGCAAAATTTTTAAGGCTATCAGGATTTTTTTTAAAAATCTTAGCCTAAAGAAATCTGTAGGTCTTAGGAAATTTTTTATTAAATTCTGAAATGTGAGAGTGCCAATAAACTCCTGAGCTATAATATCAAGACAGTGTTTTTAATTCCTGGAACATTTTCAAATCGTGAGAATTTATTTTTCGAATTTTATAAAATAACTTGTAAGAAAATAGCTGAAAAACTTGGAATTTTAGCTTCAATTTTAATTTGTTCATTTTTTTTTTTTTTGGACACATATTAAAATTCGGACTAAGTGCTTACTACTTGTATCAATTGGAAGTGTGTGGGATTAAAAATAAATAATAAAATGTGTATTGCTTCTTATTGGCTCACACGATCATTTGGTGATCTCAGTTTTGCAAAGTGATGCTCTCTATAATGGGTGAAGAAAAAACAACAAAACAAACAAAGGAATAACCAACCCGAAAATCAAATTTTCGTAATATTACGGGGTAGGGGGGGGGGGTTATACCTGACTCAATTTAAAGGCAAAAATCTCGTATCTTGCATTTTTCTTTTTTTTATTTATTTTGAAGAAATTTTGCTATTATGTTGGGGTTTTTTTTTTCATGTTTGAAGGCCCACGATCAATTTATTGATCATTTTGGCTCCTGGTTTGAATTCAGAGTTAGCCTTCTCTACACACCTTCCCCCCATAATACGTCCCTGCACACGTTTTATTTCGCGCCCATGCACTATATAAATAGTCTAATGTCCCAACCACTTTTAAACCGAATATTTATTACACCACATTTAAATTGAGACGATTTCTTTTTGCGAAAAAGAAAATATTACGCACCAAATGCAGTTGCGTTATTTAAAATAACATTTACTATTTTGCGTAGTCATCGGGTATTCTATTTTGCGCGCCGTCTGGAAATGAATGCAGTCACACCTCAAAATATCTATGAGAGAATTGTGTTTCTGATATCCTGTCAATTTAATAAATATTTATAGAGGACTGCCTTTCGAGGCAAGCCCCGTGAAGTAAATAAATAGCGGAACAAGATATGTTTACGCTTGACCAAAAAAGTCAGAACATTTAAACGGACGTTTCGGCACAACGCCTTCTTCTGCAGACAAGACACAACAAGAAATAGCAAATTATTTCAAATTTAAAAACTTAAGTGTTAATTTCAATTTGTTTAAAACATAAGTTTTATAGATACAAACCTTTCATCATCTAAAATGCTCCTAGGTCGATACACGGACTTACAGCCAATCAGACACGAGGTCAGTGGTGTCAGGGGTCAAATTTCTTTAAGCCATACGATCCTTCGAAGCCGGTGGAAATCACCATCAGGGTGGATGAAGCGATGGAAGAGGAAGCTGAAAGAGGAGACTGCGTGGGCGACGTAAGTAAATAGAAATGTGTGTGCCTTACATAGAAGTTTTGCCAGGCATAGATTTGTGCCTGACATAGGAGTTATGTTAGACATAGAAGTTACGACAGACATAGAAGTTACGACAGACATAAAAGTTATGACAGACATAGAAGTTACGATAGACATAGAAGCTATGACAGACATAGACGTTATGACAGACATAGAAGTTACGACAGACATAGAAGTTATGACAGACATAAAAGTTTGACAGACATTTATTTGTGCCTACATAAATTATTGCTAAACACAATGGAGTGTTTGCCATAGATATTTACCTTTTATAGTTGTAACACATGCTATTCTATTGCCAGTCTGTTGCAACAGTTTAATGCATGATACATATTTGTACATGACATAGCTGTTTGCCTGCTGTTTGCCTAACTGAGATTTTTACCTGCCATAGCCGTTGGCCTAACTCAGACGTTCACCTATCAAAGCCGTTAGCCTGGCATCATCATGCTATAGCTGTTTGTCTACTGTCTGCCTAACATACATTTTTAACTGCCACAGCTATTTGCCTCGCATATGCTTTTACCTGCCATAGCTGTATGCCAGCTGTTTGTCTGCCATAAATTTTAACTGCAATAGTTAGTTTTTGCAAATGACAACAGCTGTACGAATGAATGCTTGTCGTAGTATACCGGATAAAGATACAACAGGCGTCGAAGGAATCGACTTTGTCATTTAAGGGTGGTTTCCGTGAGGACAGGAGAGACTTAACCTGTGGACCAAGCCGGTCAAGGGTACATAAGTAAGGGACATTATCGGAAAGGATATCCCGACTGAGTCCCAGTAATGAGTTTTTTGTGTGCTGGTAAATGTGGCGTGTCCACGCAGACCCTGGGTGGTGATAGTTGTGGCGTGTCCACGCAGACCCTGGGTGGTGATAGTTGATTAAAGTATCGTGATAGAAAAAACGCCAATTTGAGAGCCGTTAATAAGCGGGTAGAGACATGGAAGGCGACCGGTGTAAATGATATGTTCGGGAGAACGTAGTCTCCAGTAATGTAGCAAGTCTCTAGGGAAGTTGCAAGTCTCTAGTAATGTAGCAGTCTCCAGTAATGTAGCAAGTCTCTAGTGAAATAGCTGGTCTCTAGTAATGTAGCAAGTCTCTAGATATGAAGCAAGCCTCTGGTAATGTAGCTAGTCTCTAGGAATGTAGCAAGTCTCTAGTGAAATAGCTGGTCTCTAGTAATGTAGCTAGTCTCTAGTAATGTAGCTAGTCTCTGGTAATGTAGCTAGCCTCTAGTAATGTAGCAAGTCTCAACAGTAGAGAGGGAACATTTGAAAGGGAACAGTTGAGAGGGAATATTTAAGAGGGGACTGTTGAGAGGGAAGGGGTGAGATGGAGCAGATGAGAGGAAACCGTTGAGATAGATAGTTTTGAGACTACACGTGACTGGTTTGACGGAGGTAGTGTTGAGACAATAACATTGAGGAGAATAGAAAGAGTCAAGCTTGAGTACGTGACCTAGTCGTACAGCTAGAGTGAAATACAAAATAACTTTTTTTTTATATTAGCAATAAATACGTAACATATTATCACCTGGACTTCTGGAGGTTGTGTTATTTGGATTTGATGCAAGTCAACGTCGTGCTTTTGTCTGCCTCAACGTTATGCTTTTGTCTGCCTCAACGTTATGCTTTTGTCTGTCTCAACGTTATGCTTTGGTCTGTCTCAACGTTATGCTTTTGGTATGTCTCAACGTTATGCTTTTGTCTGTCTCAACGTTATGCTTTTGTCTGTCTCAACGTTATGCCTTGGTATGTCTCAACGTTATGCTTTGGTATGTCTCAACATTATGTTTTTGTCTGTCTCAACGTTATGCTTTGGTATGTCTCAACGTTGTGCTTTTGTCTGCATCACCATCGTGCTTTTTTCTGCCTCAACGTTATGATTTGGTGTGTCTCAATGTTGCGCTTTTGTCTGTCTCAACGTCATACATCAACGTCTGTCATAACTTTGTGCATTTGTCTGTCTCAGCGTTATGTTTTAGTCAGGTTCAACACCTAGATGACCAAACTAAAGAGAGGAGCGGTCATGAACGGGCACGACGAAGTCAAAACAGTGATTGGTGATTCAGGGCCGGAGACCTCCCCCGTAACAATCGCCATGTGACAACCGCTCTTGACAACCACCCTGTGACAACCGCCCTGTAACAACCGAACTTGACAACCACCCTGTGACAACCGCCCTGTGACAACCACCCTGTGACAACCGCCCTGTGACAACCGCCCTATGACAACCACACTTGACAAACGCCCTGTGACAACCACCCTTGACAGCCACGCTGTGACAACCGCCCTGTAACAACCGAACTTGACAACCGCCCTGTGACAACCGCCCTGTGACAACCGCCCTTGACAACTGCACTTGACAAACGCCCTGTGACAACTGCCCTGTGACAACCACCCTGTGACAACCGCCCTGTGACAACCACCCTGTGACAACCACCCTGTGACAACCGCCTTGTGACAACCGCCCTATGACAACAGCACTTGACAAACGCCCTGTGACAACAGCCCTGTGACAACCACCCTGTGACAACCGCCCTGTGACAAACGCCCTGTAACAAACGCCTGTGACAACCGCCCTGTTTGTCTGCTGTTTCGCCTGACATAGTTTTAAAGACTTGTGTTTTGAAGAGATAATAATTAATTGTCATAAAAATAGAGTTCATAGACCGCTGGTCGTTGCTTTTTTAACATGTATATTCCACATGAAAATGGTGAGAATTTCATTAAATGATTAAAGCACTAGTCTAGTTGTATCTTGCATGAGTTCTGTGGTATGAGATTTGCCATTCACACAGTTAAAGAAGCGGTGTTGAGATGTTCTGATACTAAAAAAAAACGCCACTGGATTTTTACCATATTTTCCGGCGCATGGGATGACTTTTTAACCCAAGAAAATATTTTCAAAAGTCAGGGGTCGTCTTATAAACCCAGTCGTCTTATAAGCCCAGTCGTCTTATAAGCCCAGTCGTGTTATGTGCTGGTATACAGCAAAAGTCTTATTTTTTAACAGCAAAAGTAGGGGGTCGTCTTATAAACAAAGTCGTCTTATAAGCCCAGTCGTCTTATAAGCCCAGTCGTGTTATGTGCTGGTATACAGCAAAAGCCTTATTTTTTAACAGCAAAAGTAGGGGGTCGTCTTATAAACAAAGTCGTCTTATAAGCCCAGTCGTCTTATAAGCCCAGTCGTCTTATAAGCCCAGTCGTGTTATGTGCTGGTATACAGCAAAAGCCTTATTTTTTAACAGCAAAAGTAGGGGGTCGTCTTATAAACCCAGTCGTCTTATAAGCCCAGTCACCTTATGTGCTGGTATACAGCATAAGCCTTATTTTTTAACAGCAAAAGTAGGGGGTCGTCTTATAAGCCCAGTCGTCTTATAAGCCCAGTCGTCTTATGTGCTGGTATACAGCATAAGCCTTATTTTTTAACAGCGAAAGTAGGGGGGTCGTCTTATAAACCCAGTCGTCTTATACGCCGAAAAATACTGGTATTTGTAAAAGAGGTACCCAGGCCCGCACCTGGTGGGGTGGGGGACAACCATAGCACGTGTCAGGGGCCCGAGCTAGATAGGAGCTGTTGCTTTTTTGTCCACGAAAGGGGCCCGAACTCTGTCAGCTGCCTGAGGCCCAGGATGTCGTAGGTGTGGGCCTGAGGTACCTACGTCAGTTAGTTTCGCGTTGACGCCTGGTGAACGACTGAAACAGCTGTTTGGTTTTCTTTAAACAAATAATTACTTTTTAGAAATAACAGGTATTCTTTTTCTGTACTGATTCTCGGATGTTCAGTGCAGCATATTAAACTATGTACCGCTTATGTATGTATGTATGTATGTATGTATGGCATCTTTCCCTCTGCGGGAGTCGAAAGATTAACTTTATTGCTTGCAGCTCTTGGTGTGGCTGGTGAGACCAATCCTCGAATGGCAGTCTCTGTTACATTTCCCACACACGAATGCGGTGGAGCAGTATTTACCGGCCTTCCTCCTCGCTCTCTTTGCAGCTGTTTCCGCCCTGTTTTGCTCCTCGGCATGTAGTGATCCTGCCTTCACGATGCCCCGCCATGAGGATCGATCCTCTGCCAGCTCCTCCCAGTTTGAGATGTCGATGTTGGCCGACTTCATGTCTCTTTTGCATATGTCTAAGTATCTCAGACGAGGCCGTCCAACTGACCTTTTCCCTGTCGCCAGCTCGCTGTATAGCACGTCCTTGGGTATGCGACCAGGTTGCATTCGCTTGACGTGTCCAAGCCAGTGGAGGCATCTTTGGATTAACATGGCTGGGACGCTCCACATGTTTGTTTGGGACAGGACATCCGTGTTGGGGACTTTGTCTTGCCATTTAATGTCAATGATGTGGCGCAGGCATTTGAGGTGGAAGCCTCTTTAACGCACAGATGTTCAGTGCACCATATTATACTTTCTCCTTTCAGATTGACGATCCAGATAGTTTTCAGTTGACACTTGTTATCCAGGAGAACGAGGGCATCCTCCTGGAACATGACCTGCAGGTATCCATTCAATGTAACTTCACCAAGGGAGAGAACCTTATCAGGGACAGTCAATACGTCATCAATGGGTTAGTACTCTAATGGGGGAAACATCAAGGGCTGTAACAATAGCATTGAATTATTTTACCAATAGCATTGAATTGTTGTACCAATAGTATTGAATTGTTGTGACAAAAATATAGAATTGTTGTCACAATAACATTGAATTGTTGTGACACTGACATTCAATTGCTGTAACAATAACATTGAATAGTTGTAACCATGACATTGAATGATAAAATTATATTGAATTGCTGTAACAACAAAATTGAGTTGTTGTAACAACGACCTTGAATGGTTGTAACAATGCCATTGACTTTGTGTTACGATTTTCAAAACTGTGGCCAAACTGCTTGTGTTATCGTCCGATCAAGCCCCACCCCATCACCGTCCCTCCAGTGAAGAGACAAGTTATCTTTGATGTTATCTTTGATGCTATCTTTCAGAGAGCCTAGCCACGTCCATCACCAGTCGCTGGAGCCTCAGTCCATCGCTGATGACGTCGTCCTGCAAATTGTCAACGGCTACTCGGGGGAGCCGGTCATCGAGGCGTCGGTGGGGAGCACGGTGGTGCTTCAGATCAAGTATGGCCTGATGGAAGGTACAACGAACGTATAGACCAGCGGGTTTCAACCTGTCGGGGTCAAACGACCCCTTACATAAGGGTTGCATGAGACCTAGGAATAAACATATTTATGAAGTAGCAAAGAAAAAAATTACGGTTGGGGGTCACCCCAACGTAAGGAACTGTATTAAAGGGTTACGGGATTGGAATGTTGAGAACCACGGGTATCATCATCATCAGTGGCCCTACAGCCCAGAACCACTGATGTAGACTGGTCGTATGTTAAAGTATAGTATGAATCCAAAACATACAATGTTCAATTTTTTTATATCAATAAATAAATAAGGTAATACGTTTATGTTATTTCAAATGCCGGTACCCAACAAATACTTTACACTTTCATTGGAATAAATAGGTTAGTTGTCGTGGGACGACATTACCGTTTCGGTATAGGTTAGTTGTCTTGGAAGGACATTACCATTTCAGTATAGGTCAGTTTTCGTGGAAAGACATTACCGTTTCAGTATAGGTCAGTTTTCGTGTAAGGACATTATCATTTCAGTATAGGTCAGTTGTCTCGGAAGGACATTAACATTTCATTTCAAGCCCACGAAGACCTTCCTGTTCAATGATTACGTTAAAATGCTCAAGGTCAAAACATTTCATATTTCAGGATGTTGAAAGAGAGAAGATGGCCTGTACATGAAATGTTATCTCTTCTATATATTTTGCTTGTGGTGTGACTGCTTCCATTTTCCAATAGCTCTCAAAATATAATTACCAATGTTTACGCTAAATGATTTAGTTTTATAAACGCAACTGCATTTGGTGCGTAACACTTCCTTTTGTTTTCGGGAAATGAAATCGTTGAATATAAATAGTAATAAATATTCGGTTTAAAGTTGGCTGGGACATCAGAATATTACTAAATTTCATGGGCGTGACATAAAAAATGTGCAGTGACGTATCATGGGGGAAGGGGGTGTAGCGTAAATTGGTATTCTTAAATGTGCGTTACTTGAGTTCATGTTTTGTCAAGTAACTTTAGTAGATGGGAAGTTCACACATTGTTTGCATTAATGTTTTGTGGGCAATAACTAGTAGCTAATATGTGGATTGCGTCACACACTGATTTCCATTAACACAATCCAGCCATATTATTGTTCCAAGGTTCCATTAGATTGACTTTTTCCTTAACATCATCTTCTTGTTCCAAGGTTCCCTCCTGAAGGGCGTGTTCCCCTACAACTGCTCGGCTGTTTCCCCCAGTGGCAAAGTTAAGAAACAACTCATTGACCAGAACGGGTAACTTGATGTTAACTTGCATAGTGTGTTGTTAATTTCCATAGTGTGTTTTTTAACTTACATCGTTTGTTGTTGACTTTCATAATGTTTTGTTAACTGACATACTGTGTTGCTAACTATCACAACGTGTCGTTGACTTTCATAGTGTTTGTCAGCTACGACAGAGTGCATGCGCACTTAGAGATGTCAAAGTATGTAAAAATCTCTACAGTTAGAAATAGGACTAGTTATGTATAATACTCGCAATCTTTCTATTTTCAAAAACATAAATATATAGATAAAAGTGTTATAAATCTACTTTTAATTCACACAAATAGATATATTTACCTAGGCTAGTTTTCAATCTTGTTAATGGGATTTTAGAATCGATTTACTATGAAAGTTTTTAACATTTTTCAGTGACATATAATGACTTCTAGCATTGACATTTAATGACATCTTTCAGTCATATATGACTTTTTATAGACATTTAATGACATCATTCAGTGACATGTAATGGATCTTTTAGTGACATATATGACATCTTTCAGTGACATATGATGACATCTTTCAATGACATTCCAGGTGTTCACTGTCCAGCTCCCCCGTTTCCACATTCTCCAAGGCGACCGACAACACCATTAAGACCGGTTGGTTCCCCTTGTTTGCCTTCGAAGGCGAGCAGAGCGTCCAGTTTCAGTGCTCCTTCTCTCTGTGTTTCCATGAAAACTGTTTTGTGGTGAGTGGCGTTTTCATGACAACTGGTTTGTGGTGAGTAATGTTTCCGTAACAATTGTTTTGTGGTAATGTGTCCATGACAACTGTTTTGTGGTGAGTAATGTTTCCATGACAACTGTTTTGTGGTAATGTGTCCATGACAACTGTTTTGTGGTGAGTAATGTTTCCATGACAACTGTTTTGTGGTAATGTGTCCATGACAACTGTTTTGTGGTGAGTAATGTTTCCGTAACAACTGTTTTGTGGTAATGTGTCCATGACAACTGTTTTGTGGTGAGTAATGTTTCCATGACAACTGATCTGTGGTAATGTTTCCATGACAACTGATTTGTAGTGAGTAATGTTTCCATGACAACTGTTTTGTGGTAATGTTTCCATGACAACTGATTTGTGGTAATGTTTCCATGACAACTGATTTGTGGTGAGTAATGTTTCCATGACAACTGGTTTGTGGTAATGTTTCCAAGACAACTGGTTTGTAGTAATGTTTCCATGACAACTGGTTTGTAGTAATGTTTCCATGACAACCGGTTTGTAGTAATGTTTTTATGACAACTGTTTTTTGGTGAGTGATGTTTTCATGACCACTGTTTTTTGGTGTATATATATAATATTTGTAATAATTGTTGTGTATATGAAACTTAGCATATTTGACCGTGGGTATGTGCGGCTACATGTGTCTTACACAGTCCATCACCCAGCAGAGCGCTCGTTGACTTAGTTTGTGTCATTGTTCCGAGTGTGTCGTCATGTGTAAGATAACAAGACTACCACGTCAGTACTCGCTCAATAACCTTCGTGTCATCCCGATCCAGGGCTGCCAAGGTCATTACGAATCTCGCCACCGCAGAGACGCGGTGAGCGATGACAAGCCTCAGGAACACTCCGCTACCAGGACGATCCGGGTGTTGCCAAGCATCGACACTCAGCGTGCCACTAAACCAAGTAAGGATAAGATGGGTCCCTGTGTGAAGTGGGCGACATGGTTCAAATATCAAAGTGCACAAAAAGCCTAAACATTTTCTAGCGCTATCACTAGCTTCGATATCAGCAGGCCTGCCGCTACATTGTCTTGCAAAGCCTGCACCACATGCGCTCCACATGCGCACCACATGCGCACCACATGCGCACCACATGCGCACCACATGCGCACCACATGCGCACCACATGCGCACCACATGCGCAACACATGCGCACCACATGCGCGACACATGCGCACCACATGCGCACCACATGCGCACCACATGCGCACCACATGCGCACCACATGCGCACCAGTACGCGTGGTGTACGCGTGGTGTACGCGTGGTGTACGCGTGGACATGCGCACCACATGCGCACCACATGCGCACCACATGCGCACCACATGCGCACCACATGCGCACCACATGCGCACCACATGCGGGCGTAGTAGTGTGCCTTTGTAAAGGACGAGGTTATCGATTGCAGGCCGACGCTTGGATACAAAAGCACCGGTCCCAGTTATCAGCTAACACAATAGAACTCTGAGAAATCACTGTTCAGCATTTTAAACTGTCTATTGTCTTTCAACTTAATTTTTTTTTTTTTACGGGGCATTGTGATGTCATAGAAATTAAAATTTTTCCCAACATATAAACTAAATACATATTCATGTTTTTTTTTATATTTCCTTTTTAAATGGCCCTCTTTTCGCTGGTCTTTAATGTCTTGAAGAAGTATTTATTTATTTTATCTGGTGTACTTTGTGTCGATGCTGATGTTGATGCTGATGTTGATGCTGATGTTGATGCTGATGTTGATGCTGATGTTGATGCTGATGGTACTCGTGATAGATGTTTACCCCTGTAACCTTAATTCCCTCTGAACTGACACCAGAGATATGTAACCTGTCCCTAAAGTCAATGCATTTTTCCCTACAAAAAAATGTTCCTCACAAAATTCCCCATACTAAAATTCCGCACACGCAAATTCCTCATCAGAAGATTGCACGAACAGAAAATTTCCAAAACCTCGGAAAATTCCCCTCATAGGTTATTCCATCCATCCATCCCTGTGGCGCTACAGCCCATGTAGAGCGTTGGCCTGCCTCACCACTTCCTTCCACTCAGACCTAGCTAATGCCTTTTATTTTCCATGCTTGGACTTTCAGCTGTTGTAGATCTTTTTCCACATCATCCATCCATCTAAGCCTAGGTCTGCCTTTGATATAGACTGTACAATTCATGGTTGCTTCGTATTCTCCATCCATATTCATCCTTTGTTGGTCCATATATTTTCCTGAGGACTTTCCTCTCCCATGTGTTTAATATGTTTTCTACCCTTTTTTGTTAGGGTCTAAGTTTCACTTGCATATGTTACAACTGGTCTGATTACAGTTTTATAAATAGTTTTCTTTGTTTCTCTTGTAATATTTTTTCTTTTGAGTATTTTCTGGCTACTGAAGTATAACCCAATTTCCGGTTGATATTCTTCCTTTTGTTTCTGTTAGTAATTCGTTTCTTTCATTTAACAAGGATCTTGGGTATTTGAATTGATTTACTTTTTCAAAAGTTTGGTTTTTAATTTTAATAGCTTCATCTGTTTGTTCTTCTCTTATCATGGTCATGTATTTTGTTTTTTGGTTGTTAACTTCCAGCCCTGCTTGTAGAGATGCGTCTTCTAATTCAATAAATGATTGTGATATGTCTTTTATACTTTTCCTTAGCAGTGCTATGTCATCAGCATATGCAAGATACTGAAGTGGTTGGTTGTAGAGTGTGCCCGTTGGTTGTGGGTCTTGAGTTTCCTTCATAAAGTATCCGGTAATCATTCCTCGAGTGTCAATGTGCATGTTTCTCATAACTCTCTCTAATGTTAGGTTAAAAAGGTTAAGTGAGTCTCCCTGTCGTAGGCCTCGTCTAATCTAAAATTCCCTTGAATAGATTATTCCGCAAAAAGAATATTGCTAAAAATGTGTGTGTGCTGTAAGTGTATCGGGTGTGTAGAACTAAAAGAAAAGTAGATCTCTATTTTGACAGGCCAGACTTCAACACAACACACACCATACATTTTACAAAGGGGAAATCGCTATCTATGGAATTGGAAAAAAATATATGCTTAATATCGATTTTTTAGTAGGCCTATTTCTTAGATTAATCAGTAACATTAAATATATAACATATTGATTACTCGTGTATGGATTATCTTATTGATTAGATATGGCAATTCTGGCTGTTGAACTCAATATGTTGACAGTTTTATACTTGCGTGAGGACTCTTCAAATTTTATTTACAGTTTTCTCAAAACTTTGAGACCCTGACATCACTGGCGGGTTTTCGATTGATATGTTTATAGCTTAATTTTTGTGTTTCTTTTTTTTTTCTCTTTTATCAAATAAACTTTAAATATTTGGAGGTCCGTTCCCTTTTGGGTGAATAATTTTCATTGCGCTATTGTATGATACCAGTTCTATTCTAGATGTTTGTAGACATTAGTTCCCACACAGCTGTTAGTGTCACCGCCGTAGGATTCGCCACTTTCTTTATCCCTATATCATATATTTATTTCTATATAATATATTTGTAGATATATTTATATGAAAATACAAAATAAAAATGATTTTAGATTTGATCATTAACATTTCGGCAAGCATTTCGTGCCAAACTTTGAAATTAATTCCAGATTCCAAGCCAGGGGCGTCGGTAGACAGTAGCTCATACGAGTATCAGCCCCCTCAGCCTGCTCCGCGATCTGGCGACGGCCACCAGATGAACTATCTGATGTACGTCAACCCAGTGACGTGTTCACTCTTCCTGCTGCTGTTGGTTGTCTTCCTCATCATGTACGTCTCCTTCCTGCACACACTGCGCAGGTCCGTGGACAGCATCCGGAAAGAAATTGAAGGCACCAGGTCCCGAGACAAGTTCCTTAACTGTGGATGCAGGAAGCCTCTTAAAGACAAGGACTACGTTTGCCCTTAGTCATAAATTCACATATATCAGCTGAGTGTTAATTATCACTACAACATATGTACAATGTACTCATTTACATAACAAATATTATGCTAAATGTGTTATAACCTTTTAATGTGTAATGATTATGACATAATAAACTGTTCTTACAAAGCCTCTAAGCCTTAAAGGAAATTCAGCGAAATTAAACTTGGCATATAGAATTTTCTAGGGCATTACTTTGAAATAAACATTGTGTTTCTTCATAACAATTTCTAATATTTATTTTTCTTATTGTTTTATTTTTGTTATACTTCTTATTCCATTCAGAAATCTTGCAATACGACTTTTTTTAGTTGCCATCCGAAGTAAATACTTCATTTATTTTTAAGGGTATTCTTTAAAATAATCCATTGGCGAGACTGTTAAAACAGCCACCATTATTGTCCATTGGTCAAACCAAACTATATTAAAATAAGTTGCAGGTGGGTGTAGAAAAACAAAAGGGTGGTTGTGGGGGGGGGGGGTGTATAGAATCTGCTTTCTTCTTTCTTACATTAATTTTTTTTTAAGGGTATTCTTTAAAATAATCCATTGGCGAGACTGTTTAAACAGCCACCATTATTGTCCATTGGTCAAACCAAAATATATTAAAATAAGTTGCAGGTGGGTGTAGAAAAACAAAAGGGTGGTTGTGGGGGGGGGGGGGTGTATAGAATCTGCTTTCTTCTTTCTTACATTAAATCCATTGTTTTCCAGTTAAACTCAGATATTGTGGCGTACTGTTGGATAACGAGGGTTCTCATAGTTTCCATGAATGGTTTCTTTTGACTTGATTTTCAAATATGATGACTTGGTTCTATATGTAGATCTGTTGCTCTATATGTAGACCTGTTGAAACTTGTTCTCGTGGATATGCAACTCTGACTCACTGAGCCGTACCACATACCAATGCCAGACTGTCTGTTGGATCTGTTCATGGCTGACTGATTTGTGGGTTACATCAAACGACACTCTGTTTCAGCAACTCAGTCTGGATGTTTTTAAAAGAGAAATTGTAATAAGCGGGAGAGACTGCATTCAGGTTAGCAAACAAGAAAATTAATGAAACAAAGTAAAGGAAACCCTGAAAAAAAAAAGAACGGATCAAAACAACGAACGTGTATCGACAAGACGCCTTCATCAGCGAACAAACAAAAGTCAAAACAGAATTTAGTTGAAATTTTGTATACGAGAGGCTAGCAAGAGGAACGTGACAGAAAATAAGTAGGTGAGAGATTAAAAAGACATGTAAAAGGGGAAAGAAGAGAGGAAAAGTCCACTGCGATTGGTCGTGACATTACAAAACTGTGCTCGTTTGAACAATATACAAAGATCTCACAAAAACGTAGCATTTTCTTCCTATTATATAAATTTTACAATATTCAAATTTAATATAAGCTAATAATGAACGATAAGTATTGTGCAAAAAAAAATAATAATAGTTTATAATTCCTCTGACAAATTCTAATTTAGGCAAATAATTAATGCTCTTTTTGATTTACATTTCAGAATGAAAATGTGGCTAAAGAGGCCAAAACAATCTACAATTTTAAAATTGGCTATGATATTTTTAAAAAAATAATTTTTAATCTAGCTCACTTATATATAGCCACATAAACAACAGCCACCCTTGCTGCTTAACAGGAGCTCCACACGTGTCATATTCACAAGGGGCGTTTCTAAAAATCCATTGAAGCGTGCATGACAACCATGGGTATAATCCATTCATCCATCACAGAACTTCACTTAGATGTGACACGATTCAAACCCCATTCATTAGCTCCCCTTGTTTAAAGGTGACATGACACGTTTTTTGACGGCCTCGTAATGGATGGCCACTTAACTTCAAACCTTTCTTTGATACTGACACTCAGTGTTTTATTCTGTCTACGTATTCGTAGACACTTTACTTCAGGTCAACCTAACCTCCTGCACCTCAATGCCTGTTATCTCGTTGTTGAAGCTCACAAGGTAACATCAAGGTTATCACACCATTTAAAAATTAGTTCACTAAAATATTTCAAAATATACTTCAGTCAGAAGTTGGGATAACGCTGTTCGTTGCCTTAAAAAAGACCCGGTGGTGATGTCGAGTCTGTTGGCATATGGACTTTAGAGCGTCTGTAGTGACCATTATGTGCATAATTTTATTTCTTGATTTTTTTAAATTAATTATTTTATATGACAGTGCAAATACAATGTACCCAATGAAGAAATGGGTAAAGTAATTGTTTGTATCATTGATAATCTCAATAACACTAATGATAAGAGCTAAGCGCAAGAACCCTTAACTCAACTAGAGCAAAGATTGACTGGGTTTCCTCCCTTTGACCAGTTTTTCCACCATTGGACAGCTGTCTGGTCATCTTTATATCAGGATTATCAAACTAACGGCCAACAGGCCAATTGAGGCCCGCAAATGCGAAATTTTGCGGCCCGATACCTGACAACAAAGTTTATATCAATAATTTGACCTTCCTCGAAGGTTTCAGTCGTATCTCCCCGACTGGTCTAATTCTGATTTATTATGTTTGTATAGATTTGGACGTTGAAAACCGTTTTAAAATCGAACAAAAAAGTTTTTACTTGATGGCATCTCATGATACAAACATGGCGGCCAAAGAGCGGTTTTGAGAGAAGTTTTAAAAAGTCATTTGGTGGGTAATGCACAACTATAATTATTTAAATTGTCGCAATCTGATACAGTATCAAAGAATCCTTATTAAAATTGCCGCTGAAGTTGACGAGTGGGGGTGGGGGGGGGGGGGTTTCGGAGCCAGCCAGCTTGGTCACTTTCAAAATACGGTTAGTCAAATAGGCCTTTCTACGAATCAAAAATCAAAATTCTTTCTCTCTTAATTGCCGCTGAAGTTGACGAGTGGGGGTGGGGGGGGGGGATTCCGAGCCAGCCAGCTTGGTCACTTTCAAAATACGGTTAGTCAAATAGGCCTTTCTACGAATCAAAAATCAAAATTCATTCTCTCTACAATAGCATCTTCCTCCGCATCAATATTTTATAACATATTGCCCGTTTCTACCTTCTGTTTGAACAAGTTTTAGTTTTAAAATATTTAGTCGGAAACGCCATATTTTATTTTATGCTTTTTCGTCTTTAGCGTATATAAATGAAAGGACTACTTTCAAGCTTAGTCTTAACCGGAAGCTCATTATTTTCAAAGCATTTATTTGCTGAATATTTTTACTTTAGATCACCGGGAATTTTATTTTCTTACTAAGGATATAATGCCGTTAGCAATGATAGGCAATGTGACGGCTGGGTTAGTTGTGGAGTTCAGGGGTGACGGGATGACGGCTGGGTCTCATTGTGGAGCTTAGGGGTAACGCGATGCTCAACATTCGAGTTTGAATGTCTTGGCATAATTTTTGGAATGAACAAGCATAACTATGTGCAGTGATGTGTTATTGTTTTAGCCGAAATTAATGTAGATTTATCTGAAGTAACTAAAACTGTAGAACATTTTGTATCGATTCAATCTCAGCTAAATGTTCTTTGTTACCAACCGTCTTTTTGTTCAACGCTAGCGCAAAACTTCTTCGGTGACATACGACTGAAACCATCGTGGAGGGTCACACCTTACAATAGTATTTTAAATTAACGAACGGTTCATATTTCATACGTCAGAAATTACGTCTTTATTTGGTAATTCACTCTCTGACTACTGCAGCCTCATTCACTATCTAAGTTTCTACATCTCCCTAAGAGCAAAGTGTTGTGATACGCGATTCGGGAGTGTTGCTGAGTGGAGGGAAAATGTTAAAATGTTATCACACAGTCCAAATACATTTTTGTGTCACCCTACCCCAATCAAGTCTTTCCTTAAACCTTTTGTGAAGAGAAAGGTTGAACAATTTATGAGAGATTCCTTTCACCTTCCCTAAGATTTCCAGGTATATGTCGGTCTTGAAAAAAGTATGCCTACAAATAGTCATACAGCCTATCTGGCGGTCTTCACATCATTGCCCTACTGACAACATTGCCCTACTGACAACATTGCCCTACGCTATATCCTCCTGCCTTTAAACCAGGCCTGTAGAACTCAAAATGGAAGGCGGGCCGTAATACCTTATAAAAAGCTTGTGCGGCCCAAAAGAAACAGGACAGGGGGGGGGGAAGCTAATAAGAATAAATAATATTTCGTTACTTCGCGGACCGTAAAGTCGATGCACGCGTGACGCATGCGCCCCGCGGGTCGTATGTTGTGCAGGCCTGCTTTAAACAATAGTCCTACAGACAGCCCTCCGAAGATTTTGACATAAACTCGAACAAAGCGAAGTTAATATAAAGGCTTTAAAAACAGACTTCTTTGAAGCTGCTAGTTTTATATCTTAGATCTTAGAGAGACCATAGAATCGCGTGATATGCCTGATTGCATACTGCAACTACAAAGCAACATTTGGGATCTGGGGCTGGGGTGGGGGGTTGTGGTTGTTATTGTTGAAGGTTTTCAAGAGTTGATGCTAAAATGACAGATCTGTCCAATAAAGAAAGACAACCCTTACCTTTAGCACGTTCTTGAGCCCGTCGTTTGAACTCAAAGCGTATCGTCTGTCAAAGTCATGTTAGACTTACGTCCCTTGAATACAGGGGTAGCTATAATTTGAATGTTCATACTGGTGGAAGGGCGAAAAAAGAAAATGTGAACAATTGATATTTTATTCGAACGATACATACAAAACTACATTACTGCTTTTATGGTATAGATCAGTGATGTTATAGATCAGTGATTGTATAGATGAGTGATGATATAGATCAGTGATTGGATATATGAGTGATGATATAGATCAGTGATTGGATATATGAGTGATACGCAACATTTTTTTTTACCTCGCGGCCCACCTACACCCTTCCCACAACACATTTTAAGCATGACAAAATACGCAAATGATTTACTGTGGTTTACACAAGCTAAAAATCATTTTTCTTTCCTCTTATAGTTTATAGCCGTGAGATAACATTAGCCTCTAGAGCAGCGGTTCTTAACCTATGGGTCGCGACCCCTTTGGTGATCGAACGACCCTTTCAAGTAGGTCGCCTAAGACCATCGGGGAAAAAAATAATTTTGTGGTTGGAGGTCGCAGCATTAGGAAGATTGAGAACCACTGCTCTAGATCTTTTACAGTCTGTAACGGACTATGTTTTCACATGTAAACAGAGAGGTAGCATGAGTGGACAGTGAGTGTGTTCACCAGGTTTTTCCACGGGGAGAGAC